GCCGGTATAATTTTCGAAGGCGTCAATACCATGAGTGGCAGGTGGCTGAATTTTACGGAGACTTGCCAGGTCTTCAACCCTCCTCCTTTCTCATCCGGGCTTGGGACCGGCCATGGCGGAGTTTAACGTTTAACAAATCTGTAACCCCAAAACTTGCAAAAGTCAATGGACTTAAGAAAAAGGAAACTAGAAACCGCAAAATTAAATCGGTCTGGGAGAGTGATCACTGTACCGGATAACCAACCCGGCGAAATCAGGAAAATGAAAAGCACGCAGTACTTTTTTAAAACTGAAGTTTCCAAGCAGGAAACAGTACCAGTACTTGGAAAATTTTCGATCAGTTTGCGTTTCTAGTGCCAAGCAGTTGGTGCAAAACGTGAACCTTGAGTGCGAAAGTCAAATTGCACAACTTAGCATGAAAAAGACATGTTGGAAATAAGAGAAAAGGATAGAAAGGTAAATAAATGAGTAGGGGAAGTAGCAAGTGTTGTTCCATTGCACGAGTGAAGAAGCAAAGGTGGCAACGGGCAGGAAAAATTGCAAGAAAAACGATCATCGTTGGTTTAGTGAAATATTAAACTGCATTCGAAGTAAGAGTGAACAGAAAACAAAAGTCTACTGAAAACAGAATTTTTTGGAGAGGCATTCTTTCACCTATGGATATCAAACCCTTACGATATTGATTCGAAACTTTAGCAGGCAACATAGCGGGCTAAACTCATGCAAAATCATTCGGTAAGATTGTTTTTGGCCTTATGTAAAGTTACAAATAGTTTAAAATTTGTAATAGAAAAGCAATTAAGCATTACTTTAATGTTAAATCGAAATTCACATCTCACGACGGACCGAATAGGAAGAACGTTTGTACATTTCTGCAATATTAACAACTATACCTGCATGATCTGAATTTTGTTACTGTAGTTGTTCAGGGCGGTGTGACAGTCTTAAGCGGGACGGAGTATAAAATTTTGTGGTTGTTTGATCTGTTAACTGCTGATTTGGGCATTCAGTTTTCCAATGGCTGATTTCATTGCTGAAAACGCGAGTATGGGTCCTCCTGCTCGGTGGATGAAATGCCCCCGAAAAGGACAGGTTGTCGGTGGTAATGCAGCTTGTGTTTTATCGGCGCGACTCAATTGTTCATCTTTCAGGACGTTTCGTGCCGTTCAAGACTCCCCTATGTGCGGCTTATGATGAAATGGTGCCAGAAGCGTCAAGGTTTTACCCTTCTATGTTGTTTTCAAGCGTTGCCAGTGCAAAGGTAGATGCAATGTCCAGTTGTTCTTGTACAATTTTAAACGTGAACAAAACGGCATTGTAGAATCATACAAACTTATGACTATGAAGTAATCCTAACTGCGCAATAATATTACAGAAAGCAACAGTATCGTTATTGTAGTTGTTGTTCCGTAGTTTGGCACCAGGATTTTCCTGAACCGAATTAGAAGGTTGAAAGTTCTTATTGCTTGAATGGAATTACTGATGAATGCCATTTTCCAGCTATGAATGGAGAAATAAATAGTGTTAAATGCCCATCTAAGATTTGTGCTAGATTCTTCCAGTACGGTGTCATATTTCCAAATGTCAGATTTCGCCTGTTTAAAGTTGTACTGAAGGCAGGGTTGTCCATCTTCTGTACTGATCGACACGAGGCGGGTACCGGAATTGAGTAAATAGCAGTGCTGTGGAAGTTCGCTTGGCTTTTCATGCCGGGGATGTCAGTTTCGATCCGTAGATGTGGTGAGTCTTTTCTTTTTCTTCTGGTAAATGCCATCGAATAACTCGTCTCTCTGTTGAGCAGCAGAAAAACTGGCTTTAATTCCGTGACGAGTGTATGATGCCTTAATTCAAGAAACTTGTTTGTTTTGTTTTATTATTACTTGAATACGACCCAGAACTGACTATTTTTCAACAAACGGAGTAGATCAACATGATATAACATAATACATAAAATATGGTAACGACAGTATGGAAGGAGATATCAATTTGTTGGACGTTTGAATAACGGCTAGTGGTCTTAGTTTCCATATCTATGGTTCAAGGCAATAGTTTACAGACAGTGTAAAATCCTCAGTTTACAGACTCCGTTTTGACGTTGCACACCTGCGTCATTGTCAGAGTAATAGAGTTGGTATGGTACGGGGGTAGGTAAAGCATTTTACGTAGTTACTGCTATTGGTTTCCTTCATAATAAGATGCATCGGTCATGCGAAGACTGTTAACATCGTATTATGGTGACTGATAATTTGAAGGCACTCAGTCGATTACTGGTAAGAAACAGTCAAAGAGTTGCAGGCTGATAGTAGCCAGAATCAAATGAATGGGGAAATAACGAATCGAGCAAGTCAAACAGAGGCCTTCTTTCATTCCTAATGCAGATGCAGAGTTGCTTCCTTATAGTCTCCAAGAAAATGAGCTTATACCAGTATGAATCATCTTCGATTGGTGGGGTTCTGTGCAGGAGAACACAGCGATACATTGGGATCTGGCTGAGTAAAACTAAGAAATATTAGAGTGCAGAGAATGCGAATAGTAGTGAGGCTATTAATGGCCATGCACATGCTATAAAACATATCATACACATACGCTCAGTCAGTAGGGCATCGGATTCATAGTCGCGAGGTCTTGGGTTCAAGTCTCGGTCCGGTCACTCGGCTTCCATTTTTCCGAGGGAGGTAAATGAGCACCACTTCATGAGAAGAAACGAGACTGAATGCTATAGTGGTCACATAACTGTAGATAAAGCCTCAAAAAGAAAAGCAGCAAGATACTTCTGACCGGTGAAACAGAAATGGAGGCTCTGCAAAAGAAGAGTGCCACAAATAGTGCCAGTTCAGAGAGCGTACGGAAGACTGACATCGTTTCCTCTAATGTTAGTTATTGCTTGATCAGCAGCGCTATTCGTCACCTGTGAAATGTGTGCCACTTTCCTGCAGAATTTTCAGCAGTCATCTTTGAGGAAAAACGATCGCATCCCGGGTAGGATTACTCCTGAAGCATAAGTATCAATCCGTAGTGTGCACGAAAGGTTCCTGCGAGATGCACTGTCGCTTCGCGTAATAAGAAGCTCTAAACGAATTTGGAAAGCCAAGTAATTTTACATGTCTGTGCTAATTGAGGTCGGAAGATAGTACCGTCCTGAGATTTTAGATGGTTCGAAGCGCCCATTAAAGTACTTCGACATACAGATGTTTTGAAGTCATCTCTAAACAAGGTCAGTTCCTAGACAGTTACATTATGAAGGCATATTCATTGATTTTATTGGTTTTTAAAACAGGTGCATGCGATGAAAAATATGCACAGATGCTTTGGATGGTAGGTATATGTAGTGTCCAGGCTGTTGGGATTCTCGTGACCCAATAAGCGCATCGTCAGCAGCGTACTTAGAACAGCGAAGCAATGGCGCGAGACATTGGAGTCGTTGATGTAGATGCTTAGCAAAAGAAACTGTTCAAATTAGCCGTTAGCCCCATAAGGTTATTTGCTATAACCGCCGGTTTTCCTGATAACTTTTCTCTTTGCTTTACAACTGCAAAACGTCTTGATCCACCTGATGATCATAGTCGATCATCATGATTGACTTAATCCGCAGAAAGTGTAATTTGTAAACGTAACTCGTAACAAAATTAAACGCAGCGACTTCGACGCAGTTGATCTCTTTTAGTATGATGATGGTGTATTTCACACTGAGTTGATTTTGCGATGCTTATGCTCCTTAAACTGTAACTGTTTTGTTGATTTATGGTTGAGGTACCAAACAGCCTATGGTAAAAATTTTTTGTTGACTTATTGCGACCTCACTGGTAGCGTCTTCAGGACGTTAGTTTCATCATAGTTGCGTTATGATAATTCTACCGGTGTGATAGCGAAATGCACCGACAGTGGAGCTTTTGCCATTGGCTCTGTTTGGGGCATTCAGCCATGGAATCAGCTAAGCAGCTATAGCTGCAATAACACGCCCACAATCGAAAACATAAATCATGTTTGTTGAGGTGTTTCATCTGCTTCGCGACCAGATCTAACAAGGACAAAAGCCAGACGATGCTGCTGTTGTGGTCTACCGAGTCTGTTTGCTCGTTGTTTTTATCTAAGATATGTAACGTATCAATCTATCTGGGTTTAGTGTGCATAACCATAGTTGTGCCAGCAAG